AACTTTGCCCAATTTCATTACGTAACATCCTTCGTTTGTGGTCAAACTCACGGTCACCCGGAATAGACCGACGAGCTTCAATGAGTTGTAAGGAGCCTGAAGAAACCCAGTGCTTATAAGCGGGACGTTTCGCGAACCCACAACTGACTGTACCCGCCATTTTCATGGCGTCATGCAATTGCAACCAATGCTCATCTATACTTTTTGGTGGAATGGTAGCTAGCCTAGAAGCTAGCTCGGTTCGATACTTACTAGCAACAGAAGTTGCAACCAACTTGCTAACATCAATCCGTTGGTGGCGGTCACTTCGTTGGCCACTGAAAAGTAAGGTAAGATTGGCGCAGACCAAGGCATGATCAGAGTCCGGATAGGTACTCCAAAAGGAGCGGCAGTCTTGTACACAACCACGCCAGCGGTAGCTGATCGCGATGTGATCAATCTGAGTCCAGGCTTGAGATGCAGAGGGAGGACGCCAGGTGGCACATCGGCGATGACTGTGCCGAAAGGTCTGACCCACAAGGCAGTGGACCATCGTGAGGAGATGCAGTTCCCCGGAAGCCGGTGACCAACGATTGGTTCATACACCATTTGTTCTTTCAGGAAACTGGAGCCCATGTGCACCATTGGTTTAGAATCCGGTTTAAGCGCCGGACATTCGCTTTTCGTCCTCTCACTTTCGTAAACAACACCCGTGGTGCGAGAAGGCAGTGAGTAGGACTTCCTTGGTAGAGGCTGTATAAGCGTGGCCGTGTGAGAGTATTTCGAGAGGGAGGGCGGGCACAACACACCCTCGGCCATACCAGGGCATTTGGGGGCTATATTTATAAAGGGGGGTTTTCTTTATACATAATCGTGAAAATTTATCAATAGATAGAGAACTAAAGTTACACTGATAATGATTTCACCTATATACTTATACGCTTAATACGTTTTATAAACTGCGCCGTTAATAATTTTCATAAAATATTTAAGCTACTGAAAAAGCAGAAAGTAAGATAATGTGAAAAGACGAAATAGGTGTGAGACTTGATTGACGACCATTTGTATGAAATCATCATTGAAAAATGGGTAACTTCTAGTTATCAACACAGACCATAACAGTGAAGAAAGTATCAAAAAACTACTTTCATAGGATGGATTCTAATCTGAATGTTGTAAATGATGTATTAAAACAGTCTAGAGGAAATATTAGATAAGATGAAATCAATTTTCAATAGAAATCGTACACAACCTATGGATGAAGTGATAATATATCATGATTAGAAATAAATTTCGAGAGGTTGAATAAACAAAACATTAACGGTTAATTACAAAACAATGTATAATGGACACATGAGATCCTCAAAAACATTTCATAGGTAAGAACACCACATGTGAAATTGATGGAGAGCAGTAAGTATGATCATCGAATGACTGACAAAGTATAAGAATGTTTCATATTGGCGAGAATAATCTAACAAGTACTAATCGAAGAGATTTCCAAAAGCAGAGCAATCGGTGGAATGAACTCAGTGATTTAAAATGTTATATTTTTATACACCTGCTTCGGTTTGGGCACCCGGGCAGTATCACAGCCCTCGCACATATCGAATAAGATTTGTGTGGCGCATATGTATTTGGTGCCTTCTTGTACCAATATCTATGTGTTAAAATAAATAATATAATACAACAAATTTAATCCAAACCATGCAGCTTGACCTGAGTAAAAGGTAATTAATTGGTGATGAAAATCATGGTCACCAAATAGCTACTGAACCTAAAGCTCTGCTAATCATACAATTATGTTCATTTTTCTAGTGTTATGAAATGTTAAGTCTTGTGATCAGCCTTACGGTATTTTATAAATGAGAGTGATCGAACCTGGACCTACACGAATTCGATAGACTGGACAATTAACGCACAACTATAATCTACAACGTGAAGGAAGAAGTCAGGAGGAGCTCGATATTTGAGAAAACATACTTAAAATAGATCAAATCTGTGTATATTGAAACAAACATGACCTTATAAAAATAACAAACGTGAGAACAGCTAATCAAATGACAGTAAAGCAAAATTAAAACGTCACTGAGGTTATTATTCCACTAAAGAACCAGTGTTTCTTAACAGAAACTGGACAACCTGAAGCTATCATAGAATAACATCCTATTTGAGGACGTTTGAAGACAAAACTAAACTGAACTGACAACCTTGAAATGAATGAAACCAGCCAATCAAGCTAAAGATACTGGTTGTTGAACTTAAGCGCGAATTTTAAAACGGAGCCAGGGATAGTGCGACACACTTCAGTCTTATCCCACCAATACGCGACTTCGACTTCCAGACTGCCTTTACCTTACGTTATGTTATGGATAATTTTTATCAATTGCTTTGATTATTAAATATAAGTACATTCTAGGTGCTTACTGAGTTGTAGGCTCACTTTTTCTCTTGTTTCTTCCTATTCCAGAGTTCCTCACACACTTCCTCAGCGTCTGGTATATATTAGTATCTCATCAGGGGATTTACCCATCGGGTGATTCTAGCCATCTAATCGAGTTGCACACTAAAAATAACCTCTTGCAGGACACCATTTTCCATGAGACTTCGCATTTCCGCTAATTTCTTTGGTGGTATGATTGTAGATCGCTTACAGAATGTTGGACCACTAGGAAAAAGCATCTTACATAGCTGTGGTCAGGAAATGACTCGCAGATAAATCACAAAGTCAGTAGATGAAGTTTTAAATAGCAAAATTGTAAGTATTAAAATTAGGATCGTTAGGTTTAGGAATATTAGTGTAAGGAGTGTCAAGTTTAGGCTCAGGATAAGAGTTGAGATGCTAGCATTCTAACACTACATTCTTTTCAGTTTTACCGTTTTTTCGTAATATAAAATTCATTTACAAAAGCTTGTAGTGTCAGTTAAGCCCATATATCATATTCTCGCTTTCGGACAGGTCAATCTATTCATTCTACTTGAGTCACATTTTGACCTTGTTAATTATTTGCTTATCAATCTTGACTGTTTTTATATGAGCGCGTAGGTGTGTGTACTTTTTTTATCCTATTCATCACACGTCTGTAACTTATTTTTGTTTGCCTATAAATATTGATTGACGCTGGACTAAAGGGAGTTGGCTTACCCGCCATCTCCACTGCGCGTCGTTTTGATTTGATCTATTCCATTCGCTCTATATACAAAAAATATGTATCCAAAAGTCCATTCTCGTCATTTGACTTATTTAATTCCATTATTGACTATCGCGATTTAAGTCGATGATTATATACGAGGATAGGCGACATATATATTTCAATAACAATCATACGATCGAATTAAAGTCAAAACTCGGGTCACTAAAGTGGAGAGCCCGTCAACAAACATCGTCCGATTTAAACGACGACAAAATAACGGGCCCCCAAAAAGTGGTGAGCCCGCCGTCGACGGCGGAGTCAACACAGCAAGCTATGTCGATGAAGAAAATTCCGCACTCTATACTTTTGACGAACAAATTCAGCGAAGCCAGCACAATCTTCAATCCGAAGCAATCAGCAAAGCCTGTGCATCATGGTATGGACATGCTTAAGACGTATTATCTTATCGATACTTTGTCGTCATGTCAACTATTCTCATTGATCCATTTGTCGGATTGTTCCATTATGATTCAAATTATCATCATATGCTTATTATTACATTATTGTCATATCATGATCGAATGTGGGATTACTAATTTTGTTCGTGCTGACATCAAATATAATCATCGACTTAAATCGCGGTAGTCAATAATGGAATTAAATAAGTCAAATGACGAGAATGGACTTTTGGATACATATTTTTTGTATATAGAGCGAATGGAATAGATCAAATCAAAACGACGCGCAGTGGAGATGGCGGGTGAGCCAACTCCCTTTAGTCCAGCGTCAATCAATATTTATAGGCAAACAAAAATAAGTTACAGACGTGTGATGAATAGGATAAAAAAAGTACACACACCTACGCGCTCATATAAAAACAGTCAAGATTGATAAGCAAATAATTAACAAGGTCAAAATGTGACTCAAGTAGAATGAATAGATTGACCTGTCCGAAAGCGAGAATAAGATATATGGGCTTAACATAATAACTGACACTACACCCTCACGTGGAATCCTCAAGGCCAAAGGAGGATAGAAAGACCGAAGGACACATTATGCCGAGAAATGGAGACAGACATGAGAAGGATGAACAACAATCGGATCGAACTAGAAAGGAATGCCCAGGACAGAGTGGGATGGAGAATGTTGGTCGGCTGCCTAAGCTCCATTGGGAGTAACAGGCGTAAGTAAGCACGCTCAGCATGACATGCAGCATGTGATTTGTAATAACTCTGGACATTTTTCATATATGTGATTCCATAGTAATTACTAACTAAAATGGGTGTAAGACCAATATAGAAATGAATGTATTTTCGACTAGGGTCGGCGTTGTGTGTTGGGGTTAATAAATCTTAATTTGTAACAGTCTTTGTGTTCTTACTTCCGTGTCGTGGGAATTGCAGTAGTTCCTCGTTTTCCGAGTAAAGTGATAAGCTATTCCGACATAATATATCAGCGACGACCAGATACAACAATTAGCGTTAAATTAGAAGAATTATCAATGAAATTACGAGATAAGCTAAACGTGTTAAACTGTCAACCGTCTCACCATGAATCCTAACTACCAATGTATGTGACTTCGATGAAAAAACTATAAACCATTTTATACATCTAGTTACTTAGTTTTAGCCGTGCACGAAATGCCAAGAGAAGGGAACTAAGGAAATCCAGAAGTGGTTAGAATAAAAATTCACACATTTTGAAATATGTGCCTTCTGGATGCCTACTGATCACTAGATGACAAGGAAGATCATCCAAAACCTATGAGTGAGCTTTTTTCCTATAACTGATTCACAATCGGTTAACGAGTAGAAAAAATACTACCGTTTTTTGGAATATAAGTGAAATTGTGACAACCGTTTGAAAGGTTTTTAAATAAGCTAAATATCATCAAAAAGTATAAAATTTATTACATGTAAGATTAAAAAAGAGTACAAACATTTTGTTGAAATAACAAGTATAAGGATGGTTCAACGATTAGGCCTTATACGTATGCAATGAGTAATTTCCAAATAGTAAAAGTGAATCAAACAATTAATCAATCATATGTGCTTGTTTCCATGATGGAATAGGTTTAATTTGTGTTTTAATCGAAAGCGGAGAAGTGAATCTTAAAGTGTATTGAGGTCCACCGGCTTTATCATTTGTACCTAGATTATAACATAGGAAAAAAGAATCACGACAAGTTAATCAGGTACACAAAAATGAAATCCGACAAATTTAACTTCGAAATTATTGAAGATGATCCTAATTTCACCTGAATAACGCAACGGAGTCCGAATATTAAGATTATCGTAACATAATAATAATGATAATAAATATATTATTATATATTAGTACGATTTAGTACTATTTAACCTTGTGCTAATTTTATTTCGATTATCTATTTACTCTGAAGAAGTGGCTTACACTAAGTCAGGAGACGTCAGATAGACCACAATACTTCAACTTTTCTATTTTTATATGATAAGCCAATAGATGGTTTGAGAATCTTTTTTTATCACATTCAATAATTAGTTAAGTTTAGTTCATACATAGTAAAATAAGAAAGTAACCATAACTTTGAAATTTTACAGACTTAATGTAATTCCAATTAGTTTGTATTATAACGTTATGAATTTTCGTAAACTTACACATCAGCATTATATTTTATTCATATTCTTATAATAATAATGATAATAATAAGGTAATGAACGTCAACTAGTTTTCCTACTACTTATAAATAAACATACGAAAGTCATGTCAAAAACTGATAATTATTAAAATTCAATGGATCTGTACTGTCAAATCATTCATAATTACTGATTACTAATGGATTATTGAAAATTCTATTCCATTAAATTGACAATGAATAATAAGTGACATGATACATTGTGAAAACCTCATAAATTGTTTAATCTTATATGAATCAATAAACAAGTAAACTTGTATACTAAAGCTTTTTACCTGATTAAATTAGTGAAATTATACGTTATCATTATGTCAAAATCATATATGAAATAAAATCAGCGATTAGAATTTACATAATTCATCGATCTTGGAACTGAGTTGAGGTGAACTGAGAGATCGTTCCCATTATACCACCAACGACTGCTCAAACGATGAAACTTTTGATGGAGATGTTCGCCCGCAACGGATTAGAAGATGTAATTGTATCCGACAATGGTTCACAGTTCACCTCAACTCAGTTTCAAGATTTTTGCCAACGGCTGTCTATCAAGCATTTCCGCTCTCCACCTTACCACCCACAGTCGAACAGCCAAGCAGAAAGATTTGTGGATACATTCAAGAGGGCTTTAATCAAATCGAAAGGGGAAGGGACGCCAGTGGAAACATTGCAGAACTCCTTACGCGTTTACCGAACGACACCTAGTGATATGCTACCGGAGCGGAAGTCCTCGAAAGATATCCTCATGGGAAGAAAGTTGAGGACGATCCACAATCTGATGCTTCCGAGAACCACACCATCGCCATCACAGACCAAGTCCCAGAAGCTGTTAACGTACGAGGTTGGATGTCCGTTGTTCGCTCGGGACTACAGACAAAATCATGGTCCCTGAACCGAGGCACGTGTGGTCGGAAAACTAGGCTATGTTATGTACGATGTAGGGATGGGAAGAGACAGGTGGACTCAACACCGAAACCAGCTACATAAGCGGCTAGCCCCAGTTCGCCCATCGACAGAAAGAAATCTCCCGCTGAACGTACTGTTGGATACCTTTATTCTACACGTAGTCCCAACACAGGAAGGAGTACACCGACAAGTCGAGCTAAGATCCAGAAGGTGGTCACTCCGACAACGGCGACAGATGGTCATGATGCAAATGGACCCCAGGAAATTACGTTATTAGAAGGGAAGGTGTTGGGGATGTTAGATCCCCAGAACTCACTTTGTAAATGCCTTATTTTTGTAATTCTATTGTAAACATTCGAATTTCTTGTTTTTGCACCAAAAACCCCCTTTTCACCTTCGTGTTGTATTTCCCACTTGGAGGGGCCTTAAATACCATTGGTTTGTTATCTCTTTTAGTATGCTATTTTGTACCGTTTCCCAAGGACATTTTTATGCTGTATATATACGCTTGCGTTTTTCAGCGAGTTAGTTTTTACTCAACATCCATTGGCCGGATACCATCAGCAATAGCCTTTTGTGGGAGAGAACAAACCAGCTTCCAGCTGAAGAGGAAATTAGAAAAAAAACGATGGAAATGGATAGGACATACACTACGCAAGTCGTCAAACTGCATCACGAGACAAGCCCTAACTTGGAATCCTGAAGGAAGGCGGAAAAGAGGAAGGCCAAAGAACACATTACGTTGGGAAATAAAAGCAGATATAGAAAGGATGAATAACAACTGGAATGAGCTCGAAAGGATTGTCCAGGACAGGGTTGAATGGCGAATGCTGGTGAGCGGTCTATGTTCCTTCACAAGGAGTAACAGGCAATATACACTTGCGTTGTGCTTATTGTTGTAGTTCGTGTTTCTGGCTGCTTGTGAAATATATTTCCCCCTTTCGAACTTGGATTTCTCTCTCTAGTTAGCAGGGCTGGGACCATCAGAATAGTTAGCCGATCCAGTCATTATGTCACAGAGTCTTAGTTCCGTTCTTAGATTAGGTGAACTCGTAATCTCTTCAGACATGGTAAAATAGTTTGCAACGAATTAGATAATTTTTTTCAACAGTTCAACATAATGAACAATTTTGTTTTGTTAATATTTAAACTAATTACTAGTGTTTAATTACTGAATTAAATAATAATAATTCTTTTAAATTCTATTGACAAAGGCAGGAAAATAAAAATGCTATGGTTTCATTGTTAGTTTCTTTAAATGGTACAACACTTTAAATTTACCTGATAATCTAGCTCCGCCAAATGGTTGTTGACCGACTACAGATCCAGTGGATTGAACATTTACATAAAAATTACCAGTTGTATCGATAAGGCGATCAGTTGCATACTTAATAAATTCTTCATCCTGAGCAAAAATGGAACCTTTTTTTAAAAAAAAAGACAATAATATCTTAATTTTTTCCAAACCAATAACTGGATAGTTGAAGAAAGAAAAAAAAGAAAGAAGACGAAAACTATTACAACTTATTTGAACAATATGAAATGTGAATTTCAATGAGGTGATTTTTACAAACACCTGACCACCTGAAGAGCCTGCTTATACTACTTTTCGTCACAGTTGCATGGACCGCATACACATCAAATTATATGGAGTTTGACAATAAAAGTATGTGTTTCTGTACTTCGCCTATTTTATGGAAGCAAGAGAAATTGCAAACCGATTTTTAAAATCACGTTAACAGCGCAAAATATGATCTAAAACTTAATTATTTTAAGTGGGAATTTTCAAATTAATACGTTAAAATTTTCTCAAGGATGATTAATTCATGAGGGTTTAGATTGTCTCCCTATCAACATGTGACTGAACTTCGATCAATTAGTAGCTATTTGAACCGCTTAGCTTACTGAACAATCCTATAATATTTGACTTGGTGGGTACTGGATTCGAGTTTTAGTGTAGACATCAACAATGAAGTGTAGGTACATTAGGTTGATGAGTCCAAAATGAGACGAAACGAGCATCCTGGATCCCATACAGCTCAGCACAACACAAATCTACTGAAATTTGTTAAAGATAATTTCAACCACTAAAGAGATTGTAGTATCATCAGCTTGTTTTCTTGATAACTGATTATGAACGCTCCATCAACACAGATTGGTGGCTTAAAACCGGAAAATGAAGTGCATACGACAATCCCTAGTTGACTTGAAAAACAATTAATGAGTAAAGGAGAGTTTTATGATATATATATATTTATGTAGTTACCAGTTAATGCATAATCCGTAGTTGAATCAACAAGATCTAAGGTTTTCTCAATTTCATTTTCACGATATAAATATGTGCATAAAACCGGTCCAAAAATGTCGTCCTAAATTTAATTAGGAAAAAAAGCACAAATGTTAATATAAATGAAATCAATATATGAAATATCCATATACATATAATCAGATTCCATCTGAGTTGTTTGATGAAATAAACCCTACGAATGAAAGAATAACTCACTGTATAAGAAATATGTAATATATGCTGATTAGAATTATTATATTTAATATATACTTTTGACATAATGATGAAAATGTTTTAACGAAGATAATTGATTAATTGAATGTAATGTAAGAATGTAAAAATATCAACACGAAACCAACTTGGATGTAAGTAGTTCAAACAAACTTTACAATGTAATATATCCTAAGTGGCTTGGTTCATCTAACAAGAGAAAATTAGAATAAGGTATAGTTCACTAATCAGTGATAACCGCTAATTAAATAGTTGTTTGCAGAATTCAGTCAGTCAGTCAGTAACAACGTAGAACTTCGTACGTACCTACATCAGTTCGAGCTGCTATACCAGAATTATTCAAAATTTATTATGTACCCCTCCCATTTTTAAATAAGTGACCATACAAAACTTATTCATATATTTGATCACATGATTTCCATATAAATACAATTGTACAGCATTTGAAAATGAAAAGAAGATATTCCTCGATGAAATATTTGTTTAATTCCTAAATAAGAATTATGATGAATTCAAGTATTATTGAAATGAATTGTTTTCGAAAATAAAATAAATGTAAACTATAATGTAGCTATCAGGACTCAGTAGCTGAGTGGATAACGCGATGGCGTTTGAAGCGAATGGTACTGGGTTCGAGTCCCAGAGTGAACATCAACTCTATGAGATGCAGGTACACCCAGCTGACGCGTCCCAAGTAGGACGAAACGCGCTCCTGGATTCCACTGCTAGCCACTATCCATCATTGCTTACAAATAGCTTGTGAATTAAGGTAATACCGAGACATACACACAGTATGCACATATGCCAATAACAGACTGATCAATTGTAGTCTTAGACCTCAGTGGGAAGATACAAGCCAAACAATACCAAATAAGTTTTAATGTAGTATTACTCTACAATAGTATTTTTTAAATATATAATCTTGAATTTATAAGTTGTTAATTAAAAAGTGATTCAATTTTGTCAACTAGATGCTCATTAAACAACAATAAATTTACCATAGCTATATTGAAAATCAACTTTAATTATATTCATATGGAAGTTATAAAAAAGTAAGCAAATGAAGTATCAATTAAATTCTCTATGTCTTTGTTATCACACATAGAATTGAATGTCTATGATTAATGACATCAAGTTAAGCATCTGAAGATAATCATGTAAAAGGTTTAAGTCACATGTAACCTGTTCAACAGTAAACTATAAGAAAAGATAAAAATTTTGATCATTCAATCAAAGTTTAGATCTTACATCAACTCCCACCTATCCATATACACACGGTTAATACAAGAATATTTTACACATAGTATTCTATCTTTGACCAAAATGACTGTTGGGGTCCACAGAGAATTTCTTAATAAGGTCTTCAGAGGCCAAGAGAAAACTAAGGACATTTCGTTAAATTAGCATGCATTGGGAGCACCCTAGGAACTACTAGTAAATTAATGAATTGTGTGCTAAAATCTGATTGGATTACGTTACTATTAAGTTAACGATATCTTCAGAAGTTTTCAAAGGTGTATAGGTTACCAGTAAACGATAAATACTGCTGTTCCCTGCACATAAACGAGCCTAGAAGTAAAGCTTTTCTCCTTACTTTAGATCTTTTCCCCACAATCCGGAGATCTATGAAGCAGTTATGGAGTTTTTATTAAGCGTTCGAGTAGCAGACTTATTGACAACTCTATGATGAGAAGTGGAAACTTTTTGGATATACCAATTCATTTTTAAAATTGTATTAGCAAAGAGAAAGTTGTTTATTCTTTGAAAAAGTGACTTAAACTAAGCTTTGAAATATCAGAATTTCGACTTCCCTACTAACTAGGATGGAATAAACTTGTCAATGTTTTCTTTTAGTGAGATATCAGTATGACGATCAATTTTAAGTTTGGTATCTTTAATTCACAGTACACATATCCATTGATACAGTATATTTAATTTCGCTTCATGACCGTAAAACACGAGCATAACAAAAATATGGGTGGTTTCATAAGATCATCGTCAATTCCAAGATATTATAAGTACCCAATAAAAACATCAAATGCAAAGAAAAAATGACAAGCATGTAAAAATTACAGAGTTAGGGCTTTCAATTGAATATCAAATGTGCATTAGGTGAGATGAACAGAATAGGTTTGACACACATCAGTCATCATGCTAATATGAAAGATGAAGAATCCAAAGACACTAATAGCATTGAAGATGTCAAGTTCACACAGGGTATTAAATCATGAATTGTCTAATTACCATTCTGAAATGTAAAATGACAGAAAGCTATCGGAATACAAATAACATTGTAAACATAATTTAAGGGCTTTTAAACAAAAGAAAATGACGTTATTTTTGTTGCTAAACAATATCGATTCACAAGTATAAACAATGATATATACCTTCATTAACTTATCTGTTGGATTATTAGTAATCAAAATTGTAGGCTGAATAAAGTAACCAACGCTGTCATCTCTATGACCACCGGCGACAACTTCAATATCTGGACAACTGGATGCATATTGTAGATAGCCAGAGATTTTATTGAATGCCTAAAATCGAATTTATATTTATTTTGTGTAGTGGTAAATTGATGATAAAAACAATTTCCAAATAATATCAAAAAGATTTGAAAATCTCATTGTATTTAATAATTCAGTATTAACCGACCTACAATCTTTTATTTGCAGTAGGTTACAATTATTTTGATAGGAATGATGAAATATATTATTATTTCAAAATATAATTGTTAGGTCATTGATCTGTCTACCCAATAATACACAGGAGGGAACTCGTCTCGATGTAGGCTAATACCTTGACACTATAGACTAGCTGAATTAACCTTGAGGCTAGATATGCATAATTTCGAGTTGAAACTAACGACCTTGGGTAAGTAGAGGAAAACTAAAGTATTTCACCTAGTCCGCCAAAACTGTACACTTCTTTTAGATAGAATCTATATTCAGATATTTTGGCTAAAACAGCATCGAGTCGATTAAATAACTTGGACATACTGGAACCTGTAATAATTACATCATCCAAATAGACAGCAACCGCTGGCAAATTCGCCAGTATAGTGTTCATTATCTATTGAAAGATAGCTAATGCCAGAATTACACCAAAAGGTAAACGTTTACATTGGTAAAGGCTTCTTTGGGTATGTTGGCGGGATAAAGATTGGATTAAAGCATGTTCCGTGCAGGACTGTGTTGGGACACTCTGATTGGCCACTTCTTAGCCGGATAGCGCTGCTGGAAACTTGGAGACTCTAGAATATTCTTACGTAAAAACTATAAATATACTAACGTTTTTCTTACTGTGACTCCTACTTCCATTCAACCTTGTTTATTTGGAATATAATGAAGTTCCTGTTCAATCGTGTTCTGATTTGGAGACTTGACTTGGAATTATTATGAGAACATTTTGCATCCGATGTATTTGTTTGGAAATTTTATGAGATCAAGTTACATTAGAGGCAACAGATTCAGAAATATTATGAGAAATTCGGATAGATTCAGAGGAAGGCTTATGAGAACATTCCTCATGCCGGCTTGTCAGATAACAGACGTTATCGAATTTATGTTCTTTGAATTGCACCTCGCACACGACTTCTGTTAGCCTCACCATAACTCCTCAGGCATTTCGGGCAACATGTTCGGTTGGTTGAATGCGTGTACATCCCAGCTTACGTCACGTGTATTTGCAAATCAGTGTAATATCAGAAGCTGTATCGAACTGGATACGATAGCTTTTCCACTCACTAATAAGTCTACATACTTCCGTTTAATTTAAAAGTTGCGAACATGCTCTTGATTTGACCTAGTGAATGTCGCTTCATATTTCCGCTACGACATTTTGGCTGGCATTTCTTTGGTGGACAGTGACTTTCTTTATGACCAGCACGATGACAAAGGAGGCATTTGTGACTCTTGAGCGGATATAAATTCACAAAATACCATGCTCCACAAAACTAACATAGTGATTGTGGTTTACCAGCAGCTTGCTGTGATTTGTATAGAAGATTTGAGTGCATTTACTGAACTGAAATCGGAAGGTTTCACCTTCGTGACCATTTGCAGTCATATTGGGTTCCTGTTCAATTAACGTTAAAATCCTGGTGCAGATGTCCACATCTGAATTCTTTAATCCACAAATAAAAATCAGACATTTAAATTGATCTGCTGTAATTCCTTTTAGTTTAAATCATTCGAATTTTCAATTTACTTTTCCAGCATATATGGGATAATCACCGGATGGTGATTTTGATATTTGAAAACACTGATAGCCATTGTTGAATAATGAGGACTATTCACCAAATTTTTTAGATAATATATGGACTGTATCATTAAAAGATAAATCCCGAAGATTTTGTGGTAGGATGAAATTCACATATTATTATTATTGTTCCGAGTCTTCTCAGAAGTAAGCTAACTTTAGCTGCGTCATCGAAATTTGAGCATTCGGCGTGGAACATGTCTTCAAAACGATAAAACCAGGAATCGAATATGATATCAGATCCCGGATCGGCGAGACTATAATTTATGGACGAACCAATCAGGTATAAGATAACTAGCCACGAATTTTGGCGCGAAATTCATCCATACATTTGGCTAAATAGAGCTTTGGCGTTATAGCTGATGTCAGTTCGTGATGAAAGTCCTAAATCTAGTTTTAGACCCTAACCATCAACTGTGAATGAGAATTCTAACTGCTTTATAACCCTCATCTAGTCCTAATCAGTAGGTGTTCACTCTCAAGGTCACTTTAGCTAGGTACTACAATATATACGAATGATTGGAGAGCGTACAAACTACTACATAGGATTGGTTACGTGAATCGTGTGGTTATTCACAAGTGGCATTTTGTGTACTCAACAACCGGAATGCACACAAGCAATATTGAAGCTGTGTGGTCGAGGCTGAAAGAGTTTCTGAGACTTTATTATGGTACTCTATTTTTTTACCCTGATGGCCAGTTTGGACATAATTATATTTTTCTAATTCAAAAATGAAGAATACGTGAGCGAACAATTGTTTGTACGCTGTAGTCATGTTAGTCATCTCCCGTGTATAAAATTGGGTAGACAGATCAAGGATGTAACAGTTGGGTGGTTATTCCCAATATAATTAGGAAAACAAAGAACGAAGTAGGATATTCTTAATTTTAAAAAATGACCCAAATAAATTGAGATATAAAAGAGTGAAATAACAACAGAAAAGAGCCAATAAACTGAAAGATTCGGCAAATTGGAATTCGTAGAAAACAAATTAGAAAAAGAAAAGTAGTTATTTTGATGGGTACTTCATAATCAGTGGTTAGACTAAATTATGTATCCAAATCAATCATTATATGATACACAATATCGCATTTCGCTCTTTGATGAATAAACTAGTCGAGAAACTGAGAGAACCAGATTATTAGTTGAAATCTAACTATTTAAGTACATATTTTAGTACACTCTTAGGTCATGCTCTTCAAACCTTTTTATTAGCTTATTTATTACGTAAAGACTTGCGTATATGGCTGGGAGTACCATACTTCAGGTGTGATGTCTAGTGATATTACCCGGTAGCTCAAACAGAGGAAGGTGGAGCGAGGGTCTTAACCTGTGACTTTAATAGCTAAAAACCTAAATTCTTAACCTGTGAGCCACAGTATCGTTACTACCTGGCTGCTTATATAAAAGCTCGGAACTGTAACCAAGTAGTCGGGATTGAAATCCTGTAGCCATGAATTCGTTGTCGAAGATTCCAATACAAATCACATAATAATTGATCTTTGTTTCTACTATAGTTAAGTGATCATAAAAACCCTTTAAAAAGATTATAATAATACTAACTGCTCACAGTATGATCAATAACTGCAGATGAAAATGTATCTGAATCAAGTGGTGATCCTATTTTCAATTGTTCATAATGACCAAGTAAAAGTTGTTTAAATTTTGGCCATAAATTTTCTGGTACATAAAGTCGACTACATGCGCTACATTTTTGACCAGAGTATTCAAATGAACTTCGGATAGTGCCGAGAGCAGCTTCTTCCAAGTTTGCAGATGGATGGATAAAATGATAATTTTTGCCGCCACATTCTGTAATAATTTTATTGAATAAATTAGTATAAATATAAAGAGGTCGAGAAGTGATTTATTATTATTATTGTGTGAGTTAATACTAGCATATTAGATTTAACTGACAAGCGAACAAAACACAAAACGATAAAGAGATTTGATACAATTTAAAATCAATGAAAGGTTGGATAATATCATGATAATACAATTATATATATATAAGAATATGCTCAACACAAAAAACATTGAGCACAAAATATTATTTACTGAGAAAATCATATTAATTAAAACATTAAGTGGTTGTTTTAGTTAGCTAGAACTTAAATTTAAGGCAATTAGTTCCTTTGATAAATTCCGATAGTGTGATAAGAAGACGAAGATTATCAGAACTATGTTCTGATAAGTTCTGCCACATTTAGCTAGGACCCTATGAAATTGTGTTTCCAGTAGCTTTGTCGTGCGTAAACTTCAGCGGCCTCAAGATGACGTAATAACACTACACCATAACCAGTTGAAACCATAGCGAATGATGGTGCATTTAAATACCCAGTTTGAGAGCCCCCGCCTGCCACTAGCTATTACGAAGTACCATTAGAAAGAGATGTGGCATACCCGTGTTCACAGCCAGGCACTGAGGACAGTGCCTCCTAAAGAGACGGGGTAGTGTAACAGTATTAAAAATCACTACATGTGTCGTTATTAATGTGAATCTGTTTTTCTTATTGCACGGTAAAAAAAATAAACAGGCTGGAAAAAGAGGAACAAACCCTACATAAATTAGACTTGCAAAATGATGGATGAGACCTTTTTGCGATAAGTTTTTCCCTTTTGTACATGTATCGCGTTATTCGATTTTTGAAATATATATGCGTTGTGCTAGCACTTCGTGTTCTTGCTCCTTAGACATTAACTGATACTGATTCGTGTGCTGTCGTTTCACATCTCTTCTGCTTCCAAATAAACGCGGCGTATGCTCCTCCACGAGGGGTAACAGGAGTAAGTAATTCACAATGTGGAGTGTCATTAAACCGAATTATGATATTTGTTCTGAGAGGAGAAAATATCATTGTTATATCAAAGATGTAACATGAAACAGATATTAGCATTCAAAAACATTGAGTCAGTTGTAAAATTTGAGGCATTTCAATGACACTTTCAGTTCACATCGAACATAGAACAATCTTACAAAAGCTGAATGGATCGAAAAAATCACGTTATTTTCAACATTTGAGTTATAAAAATACATTACAATTACAATTATATTTATTAGATAATTATATGCAAAACAGATACATACTATGATATTTTTATTATAACCTGCTAGATTGTTGAAAATCATCACCACTGTACTAGACGTCTTTTTCATTCCAGTTTGCAGTTCATAAGCAGTGGGTACCTACAAATTCATACGGTATGGAACTAACCATGACTATTAAATCTCACGGACATGCGATGCTGATCGATCAGAGTGAAAACCTAATGGACCGTATGTTTCCCAAAGTTCTGTTTTAAAGTCTTATTTGAGTTACCTTAAATAATTTACTTATTACACAATCCCTGTATTTTAATATTCGATATTGTTCGGAACATAGTGACAGTATAGACTCTTCTTTGAATGAGCTACTGATTACATTCATCAATTCATAGTATATTGTTTGTAGTAGAAGATTGTAAAATTAAATGTTTTGTGTATTGATTTGCTCAGGAGATTGCAACACACAAATGTGATATTGTATGTATTATTAGACCTAACAGTATGTGACAGTATCCCTTCAAAAACCATCCATACATTGAAGTAATTATTTTTTTCCATAGTCAAGTACTTCAAATAAAGCTAGAGTAAATCGACTCAATAATCTGACTGAACAATTTTCTATGCATACAAGAAGAGAATATGTGAAATTCAACAGAAAATGAAATATTAAGCGCTTCACCAAACCGATTTTATAACTTACCACCTATAGTTCTTGGATAACCACGATACTTAGCAACATTGTCGCCAATCATTTTCAATATAGCACGAAAGGTTCTAAAATGTAAACAGTAATTCCTAATAAAAGTGCAACAGTAGGAAAATCGAAGTGGAAAACTTTGGCAGTCAAAACCTTCTTAAATAGATCAAATCTTAAGGTGAATTCTGAACTAAATGGCTGATAAGTTTTGTGGATTGAACGCTATATTTATTTCCTAAGCTATTCCGATGACCCGCACGCTAGAACGACACAGCGACTTGAACACCAAAGAGAAGACGCAAGTACGAGAGAAAATACTTTACTCCAAGGTTCATTTTATTACAGAAAATATAGGGTTTTTATAATATATCTAAATGTCCTTGGGTCGCTGGAATATTCGGGAATGCTACTAAACATAGTAGCACTGTAGTAGCCAACCAATCAGAGCTTCCGCATGTGACGTTTCGCCACCTTGATATTTCTGGCCAAGACTCCAAATGAACGCTGATTGGACGAAACACTTCTTAGTGTTTCTTGATGCTTGCTTGTCTTTTTCAAGCGACTTCTGGATCACCCCAACAATGGCACAGAGACTAAACACGTACTCTAAGATTGGCTTAATCATTACACAGCAACAAAGACGCTTACACTGTGCAAGGTAACAACACATCAATCGTTGGGTAAAACAGTATAAGAAAAAAGAACCGATCGCTTAAAAGAGAACCTTCCTAGATTTAAGAGAAGACACAATTATTGTATAACACGCCTGTCATTCAGTCAGTAACAGTTGATAATTGACCTTTGACAGCAGCGAATGAAATAATATAAAAGACAAAATAACTATTAAGAAGGGAGCAAAGGAGAATGTGGTTAGAAGGTTGAAGGCGGTTTCTGTGAGAAAGCAGAAATTAGAATTACAAAACTTTTAAAAAAACTAAGGAGCTCGAGCTTCCCCAACTTCTCGTCTAAGCTGAAACAAGACAGTTTGAATATTCGAAACCATAACACCATAACTACTCTACAACTCAAAGCTTTTTAGTTATCATTGTCTGGCTCCAATATGATTGAGTGATGATAATGCTAGTGCAATATACGACCTATTAAGCTTCGTACATCTTCTGAAGACTAATAACCTTAATACAACACAGAAATAAAAAGTCGGATAGAAGTAGCATCTAGGACATTTATATTTCAAACATTCGTGTGAGCGGGTAAACTGAACGAGTGAATATGTAAATTGAGTAGATGGAGAAAGGAGTAACTGTAAAAAGTTACTCAGTAAACAATGAGTGATTTTTTCTTTGTATCAAGTGAAAAATGTATAAATTAAAAAAATAACCAATTAGGGTGTATAGTTCAGAAACACAGGGTGAGCGCTACTAAAATATGTACAAAGTCAGAAGTGAATAATCAACAAGAGCACATATGTGAAAATAGACATTCACGCATATAATATAATCAATAAAGTTATAACTGTATATCTAAAAGTAAGTAAAAGGTCGTACAACAATTTGTATTATTCTGTTATATTAATTAAAAATACGACCGTAAATTCATTAGGTATTTACGATTAAAGTGGTCAATGATCATTACATATTACATTTACCAGTGAATAATTTCAAAAAACAAACAAATGATTTAGTTTTAAGTAATGTTATTTTTCAATGGATGGACTCAATAACATTTTAGTGTAATTATCATCGTGACGAATCTAGGTTGAGCAAAGCCGTCCGAATGGTTTGAAATCGAAAATAAGACAACTAGCCAGAAGAAACGACCATTCTGATGGTAAAAGAACGAACTTATATACAAATTACTAACAAAGCTAATGACTAAGTGTTTTAAAACGATTAGACAATATTTTGTAGGTTTCAGACTCTCCAATTGATAAAAACATACCCGTCATTATTAGGTTTCGACATATGAACAACATTAAAACCTTCGTTCTTTGATCCCACTTTATATAGGTCATTTATATCACAAATAAAATAAACAAAAAGATTATCCTCACTTCGTGCTTCCAGTGAAGTTGATACCAGCAAGTTGAGGGTGTTCACAAATTATTTTACCAAATGTTGGGCCATCTGCTGGGACAAAGTTGATTACACCAGGGGGTAAACCTGCTTCGCGGAATAATCTTTAGAATTACATAATAAAGAAACTGGAAGATATGAGAGTCAGCGTTGTGAAGTGTAGCAGATAAATGCGAATAAACACGTACAGTAAATTTAGTACGTCAGAAATATTCTTGTTATTATTATGACATTCACTAAGTATAGGTTTATGTACTCAGCTTTCAACTAAACTGCGCGAACGTTAGTGATACTACCTGATTCCCAAGAACAAAGGGGAGCGGTGTTCGAACTTGAAACACAATGGATGGAAGCAGAGTGTTTTAACCGTTAACCCACAGCACCATGACTAGATTAGTAAATATCATTATTATTTTATTATTTAAACATATAAACATTGGTACGAGGCACCAAATAGATAAGCGCCACATAAATCATTCGATTTATAAGAGGGCTAGGATACTGCCTGGGTGCCAAAACCCCGAGCTTTAGACCTTGGGGTCTAATCCACAAGGTGCTCCCAAATGCCCTGGTACGGCCGAGAGTGGAGTGGGCCCGCCCCCTCTCGAAATGCTCTCACACGGTCACGTGTATACAGCCTCTGCCAAGGAAGTCCTACTCACTGGCTCCTCGTGGTGTTGTTCACGAAAATGAGAGGACGAAAAGCGAGTGTCCGATGCTTTAACAGGATTCCAAACCAATGGTGCACATGGGCTCCAGTATCCTGAGGGAACAAATGGCGTATGAACCAATTGTTGGTCACAGGCTACCATGGGACTACATCTCCTCACGATGCTCCACTGCCTTGTGGGTCAGACCTTTAGGTCAAAGGCTCGGGGTGTGGCCTCCTAAGAAAATCACATGCTTCGGCCTGGGCATCCGGGCAGTATCACAGCCCATACCCAAACAGAATAAAATGACGATACTTACGGAAAATACTATTCTTGCTTCGATTAACAGTCAGACGATTCACATTATTATTATTACTATTGCCATTGCTATTATTATTATTATCATTATTATTATTTACTACGTCATTTATTCACTCTCTTTTAATCCCACTTTATGTATCCTTATTTTTCGACTTATATAGCAGCTCGCCTATGGTGGAAACTCGGATGTATCTAAACGTTCTCGAATCACTGCCTGGTTGAAAATTGAATGCTACCACCAAATACGAATACTGAAGCAGTTTTTCTGGAACCACGTGCACCATTCAAACTGGCTGCCTTCAACGTCCGCACATTTATGCAGGTCGGACAACAGATAGGGATGGCTATGTCTTTGGAAAGTCTTAATATCGATGTTTGCTGTCTATCCGAGACCCGTATTCAAAACTCTGGTGAAGTACTACAAATTCAATCTCCATCTGTAACTTCAAAAAGCTTGTTTTACGTGCGCTTATCCGGGGACCCTGTGGCATCTTCGTCTGGTATTGCTGGCATTGGTGTCGCACTAAGCGCTAGAGCCGAGGCAGCACTAATCGATTGGATTCCCTTTAACAGTCGGTTATGTGCTGTTAGATTAGAAAGTTCCATCAGAGTGAAAAGAAATCGGAGTGAGAAACGATGTCTTTTCATCATCTCAGCCTATACCCCGACAGATTGCAGCCCAGATGCAATCAAGGATGAATTCTGCCACCAGTTATCTGTTCTTCTCCAGAAAGTGCGTTCGAAAGATATTACAGTACTAGCCGGAGACTTGAATGCTCAGGTCGGGCGTCTAGGCACAGAAGAGAGTCGTTTAGTTGGCCGATGGGGACTCGTTGGTCGCAGGTCAGATAACAGGGACCGTCTACTGCAACTTTGCACAGACCACAACCTGTTTCTGGCTAGCACTAACTTTCGGCACAGTCATCGCCGATGTGCCACCTGGCATCCTCCCTCTGCATCTCAAGCCTGGACTCAGATTGATCACATCGCGATCAGCTATCGCTGGCGTGGTTGTGTACAAGACTGCCGCTCCTTTTGGAGTACCTATCCGGACTCTGATCATGCCTTGGTCTGCGCCAATCTTACCTTACTTTTCAGTGGCCAACGAAGTGACCGCCACCAACGGATTGATGTTAGCAAGTTGGTTGCAACTTCTGTTGCTAGTAAGTATCGAACCGAGCTAGCTTCTAGGCTAGCTACCATTCCACCAAAAAGTATAGATGAGCATTGGTTGCAATTGCATGACGCCATGAAAATGGCGGGTACAGTCAGTTGTGGGTTCGCGAAACGTCCCGCTTATAAGCACTGGGTTTCTTCAGGCTCCTTACAACTCATTGAAGCTCGTCGGTCTATTCCGGGTGACCGTGAGTTTGACCACAAACGAAGGATGTTACGTAATGAAATTGGGCAAAGTTCGCGTAAGGACCGGGAAGCCTGGTGGTCGGAGCGTGCTAATGAGCTGGAAGCAGCAGCTGCATCCGGAAGCTCTTCCAACTCATCCGGGCCACCGGAAGCAAAAGGTCTGATGTGAGCAAAACAATCTGCGAGGATGACGGAATGCCAATCACTAACATCCATCGACGTCTTGGACGATGGACAGAATTATTCGAAGGGCAGTTCAACTTACCTGCTGCTCCGGCAACATCGGTCGAACTGTCCTGCCCTCCATGGCCGGTGACGACTGATCCACCAAATGAGGCGGGAGTCCGCAAGGAACTCCAACTCTTGAAGCGCTACAAATCACCTGGCCCAGATGACTTACCTCCGGCTCTTTTTAAAGATGGTGGTGACTTTCTGACTAAGGAACTGACGACGTTGTTTACAAAGGTTTGGGAACTAGAGAGTGTACCAACGTCATGGAATGAGTCGATAGTTGTCCCTATCTTTAAAAAGGGTTCACGTCGTCCCTGTAACAACTATCGGGGGATAAGTCTACTTCCGATTGCGTCCAAGCTATTGGCTTCGTCATACTTCGCAGGTTGTTCAAAACCCGAGAAAGATTGACTCGTGAGGAGCAGACTGGGTTTCGTTCTGATCGAGGATGTATTGATCATATCTTCACCCTCCGCCAAATGTCAGACCACCGGCATACTTTTCAAAGGCCAACAATCGTAATGTTTCTTGACATTAGGGTTGCCTTCGATTCGTTGGACAGGACTGTTCTCTGGGATTGTCTATTGAAGAAGCATGTGCCTGAGAAGTTTATTAACATCCTAAAAGCCCTATATACAAACACCTCAGGCAGAGTGAGGGCATACAACCACCTCTCTCCATTGTTCTATTCGAGCAGTGGGGTTAGGCAGGGTTGCCCAATCTCACCATTCCTCTTCAACTTTGCCATCGACGACATTCTGGAAACAGCTCTGATGGATGTAAGTAATGGTGGTGTGGATCTGTTGCCTGAAGAAAGGCTTCTCGACCTTGAGTATACGGACGATACTGTCTTACTGTGCGATAATCCCCAAGACATACAATTCGCGCTTAATCAGTTGGCAATCAGTGTCCGTAGGTATGGTATGTGCTTTGCACCTTCGAAGCGCAAAGTACTTCTACAAGACTGGCAGGATTCCAATCCTGTACTCACCCTGGATGGTGAGCAGATAGAAGTAGACGAAAAGTTCGTGTATCTAGGTAGCTGCATAAGTGCTGGTGGGGGTGTGAGTGATGAGATCAATGCACGTATAGTGAAAGCCGGAGGGGCTTATGCCAATCTGAGCCATCTTTGGCGTCTTCATGATGTTGGTTCGGCTGTAAAATGTCGGATCTACAACGCGTCCGTGAGAGCAATTTTGCTCTACGCTTGTGAAACCTGGTCTCTCCGAGTTGAGGACGTTAGACGACTCTCTGTGTTCGATCATCGCTGTCTCCGAAGGATTGCTGACATCCAGTGGCAACATCATGTCAGTAATGCAGAGGTTCGGCATCGTGTGTTCGGGCACAGACGACAATGCAATTTGTGTCACCATCTTGAAACACCGACTTCGGTGGCTTGGACATGTTCTCCGAATGTCGTCCCAGAGAAGTCCACGTCGTGCATTATTTGCCAACTATGGGACTGGTTGGAGAAAGCGGAGAGGTGGTCAGTATATGACATGGTGTCGTTGTATAAAAGAAAGCTGCAAAGGGCTGGCTTCTGTTGGCTCTTCACGACTCCCTGGTTGGGGTCCGAGAGATGGTGCAACACATTGGCTAGAGACGTTATCAGATATGGCTCAGAATAGAAGCCAGTGGCGATCCTGCTGTAACCTTTTACTTTCTTCATAAAAGTGGTTGTATCTTCCTTAACTGAAAGATTTCTTTTGGTTCTACCTTTTCGTCTCCCCCATTATTATTATACTACCTTACACTAATCTGTGGTTGTTATTGTTCTTCTTTCTTTTCTTTTACGCCCCTTACCTTCCTTTTTCTTCTCTTCCATTCTCATTGTTTTGTGTGGCGCATATATATTTGGTGCCTCCCTTGTACCGATATTTATATGTTTAAATAGATAAATAAATAATAATCCACAAGGCAGTGGAGCAACGTAAGGAGATTCATTCCCATGGTAGCCGGTGACCAACAATGGGTTCATATGCCATTTGTTTCCACAGGATCCTGGAGCCTATGTGCACCATTGGTTTGGAATCAGGGTTTTCAAACTCACCGGGTTGGTACACACGGAGCGCCGTACATTCGCTTTCCGTCCTCTCAGTGCCGTAAACGACACCCCCACCGCGAGAAGGCAGTGAGTAGGACTTCCCTAGTAGTGGTCGTATGCACCTGACCGTGTAAGAGCATTTCGAGAGGGAGAGCTGACTCTCCCCACTATCGGCCGTACCAGGGCATTTAGGGGCGATTAGTAAACAAATGGTTTATAGTCCCAACACATACAAGTACCAAAACTGTTAACTAGTAATACTATTTAGTTAAAACTTAATTCACAATAGCTGTGCAATTATGCAATCATGAATTATTATATTTCAGTTTAGTTTATCTGACAAAAGTTTTGCTCCAACTTTTCTTTTAAAGAGTGATGCCAATAAAAGTGATATAAACTAAAAGGATACAGGAAAGTGCAGAGTAAACAAGACCAAAATAACTGGATTGTCAAATTTGAAAGCAGATGAATGATACATCAACACCACAGAGACATATTTGAGCTACTGCAAAAACGGGTTTTATTTACTGATTAACACTACAAAACAGACAAACTAAATATTTATCAGAGTAGGCTGTTATCTCCCATTTCTCATAATAGTACATAGTATTCGTTATCCATTCATTGAAAGTGGGTTAGTGAGAACCATATTTTACAAAGTACAGTAACTCAGCCAATGAAAATGTCTCGTTAAACACTGAACCAACCAAATCCCGTATAATATAAATAATTCTGTTATTTCAAAACTTTGATATGAGAAATACAACTTATGGATATCTCCACTATGAGCTGAAGGTTTTCGATATCTTTGGCTACCAATATTTTCATGGTTTGCTGAAACTAACGGAAGAATTATACTAAAATTTAGTGGTCTGAATTTGAAGAAATCGGTGATTGATCAATCATAATGCGCGTCAGTTATCAGAATTACGAAGAACACCCGGTCGACAGCGCAGTTTGGTGGTCGGAAAACCATTTGTTTGTAAGTATATTAACGAAGATTATGAAATCCCTACAAACCCATAGACCTTAATTGATGGTATATCCATCCACAAATACTAATACGTATCATAAGGTCAGATTTACCAAGAAAGACCTCTGTTTGGACAGAAAAATAGACAATATGGCTCTTCTATGACTACTACAAATTATCTCCAAAAAAAGGATATTGTAAAAATATGTTCTAATGAACTTCTTGCCTGTAAACAAGATAATTAGAATATATGGATGTATCAGCGGGTTTCCAAATCACAACATTCCCCATTAAAGCTGGGGCACTTGCTAGGTTCCCTGCAATAGCTGTAAAATTAAATGGTGGTATAGCAGCCCAAAACCCCTTTAAGAAAAAGAAACAAAAAATAATCAAAAGGGATGAATGATGACAATTACTTCATTTGCTCGGTAAACTACTTCATTCTTTGCATCCTGGGTATTGATTGGTTTATATTGCAGGGCTTCCTGTGGTTAAGAAGAGATTTGAACTTGAAGTAAATACATACTGAGGCAAATTTAACATTAAAACGCAAGAAATCTGCTAATTCTGCAGCTGCGTCAATCTCAGCCTGAAAAATTGTTTTCGCCTTAAAGTGGGCATAGCCTAGAATAGAAAGTATATGGTCTTACTTGACCGAGAATAGTTGATGCCAACAACTCCATGCGATATTTATCGCTAACAAGGTCCGCTGCTTTTAAGAATATCTTAGCGCGTTCATCAAAACTTGTGCGTGACCACGTTTTACGAGCTATTAGACAAGATTCAATTGCAGATTTTATTTGCTCTCCTGAGGCATGATAAAAATTGACCAGTGTTTTCGAATGCTCAAATGGCTTGATTCTTCCCATTAATAAAAACACTTTCTTGACATACCAAAATCTGCCTTCGAGGTTGTCCGGATGATAATTCGTTTGAATCAATACATATAGGCACATGATAAGGCCCGTTTATAATCATAGTATCTAACGTACTATCCAACTTCTGACGTTCCGTACTACCCGGTTTATGCAACAGAACTGGTTCGTTTGTGACCTGGAAAAGCCTGCTCAATAGTTTTTGGTACTGCCATTTCGGAACACAACGACAAACGCTACACGATCTACAAGTAATTTGAAAAATCAGGAATGGAAGAAACTTATCTTAATAAGTCTACAACATAAGTAGTCTTTAGATATGCGGTACCTTGTAATCGTGATGATATGATGTATATACATATACGCATGTTACGGGTTATTGGGGTGAAAGTGCCGAATCAAACATAACATGGGTTCTTAAGTACTTCAATAACTACACATATCTCTTTCTTTTGAAGTACCAAAAATATAACTAACCTTCCAACTTAGAGGAAGGTGTGAAGCAATTTTATGAAAGTCGCATTAGAAATTTCGAGAAAACGTTCAAAATCCCCAATATTCGCACACAATGTTGGGGTTTTTCCAAAAACATTCCATACAATTCACACTACATTTACACAAACTGGGGAAATCTAATCAACATCATTAAGACATCCCGGAAATCTCCAAAAAGAGGAAATGCACCTCCCCACTACTCGTAACTAAAATTTTAAATTTTCAAAAACTTAACGCCCTTAGAAAACTAGTCACTTACTAGTTGTCATAAGAAATTACTGTTTGTACCAGGCCTCTCTGTATCAGTCAGTCAATCATCTACAATGTAGGACCAGGAAAATAAATGCATGGATACAAGTTGCCACACCTCATTAACACAACAGGATGAACACCAAATTCATAGAAGTTAATTCAATGGTAGTAATATATAAAAGAAAGATTGCATATAAGGAGAAAGAACTAGTTGGTAGAAAGAAAAGTATAAAGCAACTTTAATCTCACTGTTTAAGAGAAGACAAAGAGTGTATACACTTACGCCATTGTGATCGATTCTGAGTCATGTCACCAAGAGTCTTCAACCATTGGTTACGATAGTCACGCAGACCCCAACCGAGTAGTCTGCATCTACAAACATGGCTAAGACTAGAAGTTAGTGACTTCAAGCACTGATGTCACGTTTTGGTTTGGCCGCCCCTAACTTTCTTCCAACCACCCCCTACACTAGTCAGCATGCGCGTCGTGGTAATCGGTGTTCATGTATACATAACCCAACTACCTCAGTCGATGAATATTCACAACCTCATCAACTGACTTACCATCATTCCCTAAGACCCTGCGTCTAACCTCACTATTACTTACCCAGTGATCCCAGTAGATGCTGGAAATATTTCTAAGACATCTGTCATCAAATACTAGTAACTTACGAGTATCCTCTACTCTTAATGGTCACACATCGACAACTTCACATATCTTGGACGTCTGATCAGCCCTAACGGGTTGATGTCTGAAGAAATCTCTGCGATGATTCAAAAAGCTCGTTTGGCTTTTGCCAACTTGGGTCACTGATAGCGAAGGCGAGATACCCATCTACTAATAAAATAACGAGTATAGTGTGCGGCAGTTCGTTCTTTTCTACTTTGCGGCTACGAAACGTGGTCATTAAGAGGCAGACGCGCTAGCAGACGACAAATCCCAAGATCACTTTATGGGTTGCAATTATTGTTAATTACAATTCAGGTGAACAAATTGTCGGGGGTAAAGGAAGATGATCACTGTAAAACTGCTAGGTCTTTATTGGCCCATGTTATCACCCTAACTCCACATCCAGTATACTGTATGGAACAAAGCTGAAGGCGGGAATTAGTAACTACCGATTTCAAAGAACAGTTAGCAGTAATTGTTTATAATAATCACATATGCCCTAGTGCAACATGTGAAAGCAACTAGGTATGACCTGAACTCTGAATAATATTTACTAGATCCTTTATTGACCTATTACATGGATGAAGTCACGAGCCTCTAGGTAAAAGTGACCATGCAGTTCTAATACTTGACTTCTGTATAGTTGTCAAGAACGGGCACGCGCCAGCCCAATCCAGACCTAACGCCTGGAAAGCAAATATAGATGTTATACGCTCAGCATCGTCAGTAGATTGGATAATGGAGCCAGAGTCCAGAATTGAAACAGCTTTTGATGTATTTCGGAATTTACTTAAAAGTTACTGCACCCCATATACTTTGGACTACACCAAGGGGTCCGAGAAACCCTCCACCATGGTTCAGTAGGGAAGAATGTGGAAAGGATTTAGGTTACTGGGTAATGATGAGGCGAAATCTCAGTATCGAGAAGCTCAAAATATTTGTGCCTCGACCCTCCGTAAGTCTAAAAGGTTGTTCAAAGAAAAAATTAAGTAATCTATAGAATACCCTAAACGCTTGCATTCGTATATAGACCAAAAGACTAAAAGAGGAAATATTCCGGAACTATGGGGAGACAATAATGCTTCATCATTAGTGTAAGACGACTATGGTAAAGCTCAGGTATTCTCACATCACTTTAGCAATGAATATACCGTAGAGACACTCTTTCCTTCAGTTCATGCAAATCCCCAAACATAAACACACACTAGATAATATGGCCATTAAAGAACTTGATATCTTTGGTCTGCTAGATAAGCTTGATATAGGTAAGTCCGCTCCAATTTTTCGACGAAATTTTAACATACACAGGCTACGTCTAGTGTTTCATAGATTGATCACTATGGCATCAGTAGATATCGTATTAATTCGAAAATGAAATAAAAATCATAAACTTGTCACCTTGAATGTACTCCTAACATGGGTGAATGGGTCTGTGGGCGCAATTCAATAAGACAACTTAAACTCCCCCCAAAGTGTATAAATTTAAATAGCTTTCAGGTTGTTCAATACCTAACCACCCGGCTAAATATCATATTCAGTTCAGACAAAATCGACTTTTAGATCTATGAATATCATCATCGTATAGTGCTCAGTAAGATTTTCTACCACCTCAGGGTGTCTAGTTGGAGCCATCTACAAGCCCAAGTACGACAGTCGTATGTTGGAAGAATTAACCCGCTCTACTAGTCTCGGATTCACTAATATCCTAATTCTAGGGGACTTCAATCCTCCTAAAGTCAGCTTTTTTTGAACTCACATACATTGGAGGTGAAAACTCTACTGAAGCTCAGTCCTTCAACCTTCTTATTATTCAAAAATGTCAAGTCGGCAACAGTCAGACGTCGTCACGCTTAAACTGCATATTTAGGAACGAAGAATTCTTAATCGCCAACCTATCAATCCTTGCTCCCCTAGGGAAAGACGGTCACGCTATCACAGCCTTCCGTTTTATCAACAAAACTGATCTAGAACATCACACCGACAACAGGCACTGGAATTTTGAACGGTTGGATGTGTCAGCTTTACAAGACATTCTACAGCAAGTGGACTGAGAAGTTCACCCTCAACTTGATCGTGGTGCTCATGGAGATTTCTTACTGCACACGATCTTATGAGCTACAAAGTAGTCTGTTCCATTAACGGTCCCAAAAATTTACAAGCATCCTACAGTCATTAAGAACGGCACTCTGCTTTTGCTAAACCGCAAAAGGCACCCCTGAGCGGAACATAAACAAACTGGAAAAAACGATGCATATGGGTAATTCAAACAAATAAAGAACTTAAGTACAAAGGCAATAAGAGAAGGCAGGCTTCAGCACCAGATAATGCTTATTGACAGATTTGTCTCCAATTCGGAAAGCTTATTATTTTATGCAGCCTCCATTCGTTGGGCCGAAACCGGGGTTTTTCGACTGCTAAATCTTCATAGCCCGACCAACAATGATAGTAGTGCTTCTGACCTTCTGGCAGGACAGTACTCTCGGATATTTCAACCGACCCACATCAACTCCACTGATGACAGATTAATCTGCAACTGAACAGGACTTTTGGAAGTGAAACTGAGCTCTGACTTGGTGTTCCGGAAACCGCAGCACCTAAGAAAAGGCACTTCTCCTGGTCCGGACGTGGTCCATTCAGCTATACTGAGAGAAACAGCTTCAATCTTAGCAACACCGCATAGGTGAACGTTCTCACACTCGCCGACCCGAGGCACATTACCGGAAAATTGGAAGCTGGATCACATCACACCAATTTTCAAAGGAGGTCGCCGCACAGAAACTTCAAGTTACCAACTGGTGGCTCTTCTCTCTATACCTTCGAAAATCATAAAGTCCCTGATATGCGATGGTATACATGACTATTTACTGTCCTTAAATTTCTTCTCACCCCAAAAGCATGGTTTCAGAAATGGGCATTCTTGTATAACCGACCAGTTGAAGTCAGTGGACAGATGGACAAGCGTCCTTGGTCGCAAGGGGAAGGTTGAGATCATTTATCTTGATTTCCCAAAAGCTTTTGATAGGGTTAACCATATATGTTTTATCAATAAGCTCAAACGATTGAGTATCAGACCACCTCTAATTGATTGGCTCATTTCATATATGAAAAATCGGCATTTTAAAGTCAGGGTTAACTTCACCTTATCTCAGGAATATCCTAGTGGGGTCCACCAGGGCTCAGTACTAGGACCTCTTCTCTCCTTGATTTATATATACAATCTTCCACAACAGGTATCGTCTGACTTATTACTTTTTGTTGATAATGTGAAACTTTGGAGAGAGATACACAACCAAAAGGATATACTGGTACTTCAGGAGGGTCTAACTCGACTTCATGATTGGGTAGATGATAACGAACTTACCTTCAACACTTCAAAGTGTAAAGTAGTCCATCTGAGACATGTTGCAGACTAAAGTTACAGTTTAACAAACTCCTCTCTAGAAGTGCCCCAGGTTGAAAAAGATTTAGGAGTCCCAGTGCCCTACGATTTGAAGTCTTACGCCAACTGTGACAGAAATGCCTTTCGAGCGAACCTTGCACTGGTAGCATTGAAGCGCATTTTTGGCCATTTCGACGAAAGAACTTTCCACATTATCTTCAACAGTTTCATTCGTCCTCATTTAGAGTACGGAAACATAGTATTTCCAACCTCACTCTAAAAGGACAAGGACACTCTGGTAGCTTATAGTATACTTAACACTTCTGGACATCCCCTTAAACACGTACTTAACCTTGGTCCCAATACAAGCCTAAGGGATAACACCCAGAAATTGGAGACACAACATAGCAGAACGGACTGTAGACACAACTTCTACTCCTGAATATTTGTCAAAAGCTGGAATTCGCTGCCGACTGAACTAGTCCAAGCGACTTCCCAGGGATCCTTTAAGAAGACATTTGACCTATTCATAAGCACTAAGGAAAACATCTTTTTATGAGTTACCAATTTCTTTTTTTCTGCTCTATTATAGTTGATATACCTAGGTTCCTGTCTGGAGGTATTGGCGATCCACTGCTAATAGATATAAGAGCCCATTAAGCGAAAGCTTCTTCTATTCCATCCACAACCATTTAAACCATTTGACATATCCTCCTTCAACTCTAGCTGTCGAAACAAGCTAATGACGAACAAGTAATCTCTCACTTTAAACCCATATCACACCCTTGAAGGTTATAACAGCTTTAATTCAGATACTCTCACTCATTTTAACTTAGTAGACCATTTGTTTAATATGTGTCTTTCAACACTAAGTCGATAAAAAGGAGAATTTAGCTCTCTTTGTATCTTTTTATCAACCATCACTTTTTATGATATCTGAAGCATGGACTAATAGAAATATTCCCGACCCAAGTAAATCTGTTTATATCTATTTCCCATATCAAAATGACAGATTGAAAGGGCGTGGTAGAGGATGCTTTATTTACGGTCACTCTAGCTTAAACTCACTGTTATGTGACATACCTGATCTAAACAAACTGCAAGATTCGATGTGGATTGTTTTAAAGCCATTGAATCCCATTATCTTACCGTTCGACTGTGTCTATCGTCAACTTAACGCATCAGTAAATGAAGTAGCAGTATTATCAGAGATTTTTACACTAGCATCGTCCCCTCCATTCACAGGCAAGCTTATTTATTGTGATTTAAACATACCTTATATTTCTTAATCTCAAGCCAAAGCGCCGAAATGTTATGCACTATTTATTAAATTTCTGGAGCTTGGGCATTGAATCCAGTATGTCAGTAGCCCTACCATACATCAAAACATCTTGGACTTAATCAGGAGCCTCATCGCTGTCACTGTGCACAATGGAAAAACGTTTCCAGGCAGCAGTCACAACATTGTCATGTGTAGTCTTAATATAAAAACCACTACCGGTAGACATGAAACTGTAACACTTCATAAAAACTATCTCAAGGTTGACAAAAAGAACTTCCGAAATTACCTAAGAAGCACTGATTAGAGAACTTTTTTACTGTAAACAATGCCGAAACACTAACTAATATATTATAACACGACATCAAAAATATCTTCAACAAAATCGCACTTTAGAACACTGGAGACCTAAGTTTTCTAATGATCTGTATATTGTAGAGACTAATTTGCTCTATATCTGACTCCAATAAGTAGTATCCTTTTAACTGAATATTTAACGCAGGCAAAATCTCCTAGTGGACTCATGGGTTTACTGGAGATTACTCAAAAGCCTGAACACCAATTATAGAGATAGTTTATTATTGAAGATTAGTAAAATCCGCAAGCGTACAGGAATCAAGCATACAAGGAAACCAAGCGAGTATGTGCTTGTGTGAGTGTTAAAAATACATATATATTTATGAGTGTTAGTTGGTTGTGGATAAATTATGGATTGTCTGTGTGTTGCAATCAATGAGAGAATAGATTAAAGATTGATGTGCAGACACCCTCTCGGTCAGACTCACACAGAAATTTACATAGTAGATTAGGTGTCTAAATTACAATGAGTAGTCAAATAATACACTAGTTGAATGGGCTTACTACAGTATACCGGTCTGTACGCGAATTCGTCTTCAAACACACTGTACTCGATTCCACGACTTTAATGACTTTTCCTCTTTAGTGACGATGACAGAAATATTTGTCCAGGCAGAGGCAATACGTACAAAAAAATAGTCGCACTGAAAAAAAGTGCTGTTGAACTTAATAATGGCTCCTCAACACTCACCAAACCTTTTCGTAATAAACTTAATTATTCTAAATCGAAAGGAGGAAACATATTTATTACGGACAAACAAGTATGCGAAGACACTAAACTTGCTATGGAACTATTCAGTTAACACTTTTGTCCCTCACTAACTAACGAAAACCCACTAAATGAATCAAAACCGATCATAGTACCTCGCTGTAAAATTACAAAGGTGAACTTCAATGTACAAAATATTTCTAAGGCAATTAGTAAACTGATGCACTCCTACAAGGATGGACCAGATGGTATTCCGGCTAGCATGCTAAAATGTGGAGGTGATAATCTGTGTTTCACTTCTCAAACTATTTGCGATATCACTCTCTACAGCGTGTTACCCTACTGCCGGTAAAACTACACATAACATCCCTAAAAGTAAGACAGGACCTGAAGCAAATGTTGAATATTATCGGCCAATAAACACAACCTCAGTGGTACCTAGATGGGTGGAAAATGTAGTTAAGGCGGTGGTAGTTCAACATCTACTTACTAACAATCTCATCTTGACCTCCCAGCGTGGGTTTCCTAAGTTCAGGTCATGAGATACCTGCCTTGAAGACTACCTGTATGATATGACACTGAAACAAAACAATGTACTCCTTGTATCAGACCTATTCTTAGACTTTAAAAAAGCCTTTTATGAGGTCCCAAACAAGAGATTTCTCATCAAACTAAAGTCACTTGGAATCAATAACCCACTATATTATTGGTTTGCTTGATTCCTGACAGAACGTAAAAACAGGTAAAGT